GAAACAGGGATGGCGAGATTTTGTCTCATCATGTACTTTGGACATGTTATCAGGAAGGACCAATTCCTGGTGAAGGACATCATGCTTGGTAAAGTAGAGGGTCAGGAAAAAAGAGGAAGACCCTCAAGGAGATGGATTGACACAGTGGCTGCAACAGTGGGCTCAAACATTGCAACGATTGTGAGGATGGCACAGGACCAGACAACATTTCTATCTCCATTGAGTCGGAGATGACTCAATGGCACCTGACAACAACATATCTAAAACCAGTCTTTATTTATGTCTTTAAAATTTTTTTAATTTATTTTGTCGTGGTTAGGAATATACACAGCAAAACACACACCAATTCAACAGTTTCTACATGTACATTTCAGTGACATTGATTATATTCTTCAAGTTGTACAACCATTCTCACCTTCCTTTTCTTATTTTTCCTCCCCAATTAACATAAACTCACTGCCCATTAAGGTTTCTATCTAATCTTTTGAGTTGCTGTTGTCAGTTTGATCCTATATAGATCTTAAAAGAGCATAATGCTCAAGGTAGACATTTCTAACAAGTTAAGCTAAACTATTGTTTGGTTTTAAGAAGACTTCAGTGGGTATTTTTGGTTTAAGGTTTAAAGACTATTTTCAGGGCAGTAGTTTTGGGGGTACATCCAGGACGTCTACCGTCTATGAGAATTTGAAATTCTGTTCTGCATTTCCCCCCTTTTGATCAGGATTCTTCTATAGAATCTTTGATCAAAATGTTCAGTAATGGTAGCTGGGCACCATCTAGTTCTTCTGGTCACCTGGCAAAGGAGGCAGTTGTTCATGTAGGCGATTAGCCACACATTCCATTTCCTCCTCCTATTCCTGACTCTTCTTCCTCTGTTGTTCCATACGAATAGAGACCCAATTGTTGTGCCTTGGGTGGCCACTTGCAAACTTTTAAGACCCCAGGAATTATGCAACGTACTAGGAGGTAAAACAGAAGCTCTAAATACATTATTGGGCCAATTAACTGGGATGTCCCATGAAACCATGACCCATATACTCTTTATTTTTAAAATTCTGTTGAAATCCCATATATGTGATTGTCTTTTCTAGATCTGGAGTCCCTGGGTGGTGCAAACAGTTAACATGCTCAGCTGCTAACATAAATGTTGGAGGTTTGAGTCTACTCAGAGGCTCCTTGGAAGAAAGGCCTGGTGATCTACTTTTGAAATAATCAGCCATTGAAAGTCCTATGGAGTACAGTTCTACTCTGACACACATAGGCTTGCTATGAGTCAGAATAAACTCGACAGCAACTGGTTTAATTTTTGTTTTGTTTTGCTTTCTAAATCTATCCAGACTAAAGTCCTCTCTAGCCTCTAAACTTCTAAAGTGTTAATTTACACAATAAACCCTTTTTGAGACCATACTACGTGCGCCAGGTACTGTGTTAAGCACTGAGGATGGGCACTAGACAATCTTTGCCCTCAGAACTAATAATGGGAGTGGGTGGTGGTGGTGGTGGGGAACTGTGTTCATAAATAATTACAATACAGCATGATTCTACTGAGCAGGCCAAGCTTCAGAATTTCTGTCTTGCCCCTACCTTTCATGGGACATGTATCCATGCTTAGGCAGCCTGGTTTTTGTATCATGTGAACAGTATCTCCTTGTCATTCAACTGCTGAACACCCTTGCCACAGCTGACTTGGCTAGGCGTGGGATCTGAATCAAGGGCAGCCAATCCATGGACTGTCTAATAACTTACCACAGTGCTTGCTTGTCAGATCATATATATAAATTGTCTTGAACATAGAAAATGCTCAGGCAAAAATAGCTATAATTAGTATTCCAGTAATAAGCAATAACTTGGGCAAAGACCTACTGCTAACCAAGAGGGTGGTGGTTGGAAACCACCAGTGGCTCCATGGAAGAAAGGTGTGGCAGTCTGCTTTTACAGAGATTATAGCCTTGGAAACCTTATGGGGTCACTATGAGTCAGAATTGACTTGGCAGCAGTAGGTTTGGTATTTTTGGCTTTTGTATGCAACCTTTAGGAGCCCTGGTGGCACAGTGGTTAAGAGGTTGGCTGCTAACCAAAAGGTTGGCAGTTCAAATCCACCAGCTGCTTCTTGGAAACCCTATGGTGCAGTTCTAGTCTGTCCTATAGGCTCACTACAAGTCAGAATTGACTCAATGGCAACAGTTTTTTTTCTTTTTTTGTGGTGGAGTGGGTAGAGGTAGCCTAGGGTAGGGGGAAAGAGAGAGAGTGAGAGAAGTAAATTCCAGGCCCTGAACATATTTTAATTTGTTTGGAGCAGTGGGTGGTTGAGGAAATGGACTAAAAATGAGGCTGGACTAGTCAACAAGCCTGATCTGCAAGTCCTTGTAGGCCATCTCAAGAAGCCTGGAGGGCAAGTGGAGCCAGTCACACAACACGTAGGACAAACATATCCTTCAGGACAGGCTAGGTTATGCTGCAGCAACATACGTTCCCAAGCATCTCAGTGGCTTATAAAAACAAATGCTACATATCTGTTGGAGATCATCGCCACCCTTTTTTTGACAAGTTGATTTTCAGAGGTTCAAGTATTATTGTTGTGTACAATCGAGTCAATTAATAGTGACCCTATATGACGGAGTAGAACTGCCCCTTAGGGATTCCTAGGCTGTAATCTTTAGGGGAGCATATCTACAGGTCTTTTCTCTGGCAGAGTGGCTGGTGGGTTCCAACCACCAACCTTTCAATTGGCAGCTGAGTGATTAACCATTGAGCCACTGGGGCTCCTTAGATGATGATTAATAAGTAGTTAACTATGTAAACCTGGAGCTCAGGAGAAGAAATCTAGGCTGAAGATATATATTGGGAAATCAAGAACACAGATGCTAACTGAAGTTATGTAAAGGGAAGTGATCACCCAGAGGGAGCGTGTCCAGTAGGAAAAGAGAGAGGGCTTACACCCACCCTCGGGGGGATACCAACATTTAAGGAATGGGAGCAATAAGAGGAACCTTTAAAAGAAATGGAGAGGGAGTGGCTAGAGACAGAGGAGGAAGATCAGGAGAGTCAAAATGGAAAGCAAGGAAAAAGAATGCTTCCAGAAGGAAGGAGTGTCAACCGATGCAGAAAAATTAAGTTAGGTCATGATGCTAAGTGTCCATTGGATCTGCAGTAGAGAGATCCTTAGTGACTTTGGAAGAAAATGATTTCCGTGGAGTGGGAGGACAGAAACCAGGGTAGTTGAGGAAGTGGAGATAACTGGAGAAATGTAGCTGCAAAGGGCAGAAAGAAAGAGGAAGGAGAAGAAAGAGAGTAGAGGTAGAAGTGGGTTCTGGGGGTGATTTAGGAAATAATACTGGAGTTATTATTCCCTGTCCTTGAGCATAGAGAATGTGACCCAGCTAGAGCTGGGTTCACAAGGACTCACAAGGACACATCATCTGGGCCCTGAGGTATAAAGACAATAGCTAAGATAATCTCGGAAAATATCTTTTAGGGAAACTTTCACATAAAGCCAATCAAACAGAACACAAAAGACTTTCCACTCTATCTTTTTCTATTAGCATTTAGTGAATAGAAATTTGTTGGACCAATGGAAGACCCTCCTGACTCTCATTACTGAAACCTGTAGCAATGATTGGATCACAGTTTCTAGCCAATCTGAAAAGGCTAAGCTTTCAATGGTTTTGCCCATTTGTAATGTTAATATATACTGATGACTCTGTAATGGCCTTTGGACTCTGGCAGACATGGCTGTGGCTGCATGTTTGTCCGTTTTCCCATTCTTGCCTATTTTGTAATGTTCTTTGGACTCGGGGCAGACATGGCTGTAGCAGCATGCTTGTCCGTTTTCCCACTTTTATCTGTTCTGTGATATTTCCTTGGACTCCGGCAGACATGGCTGTGGCAGCATGGTTGTCCGCTTCCCGCTTTTGCCTTTTGAATATATGCCGAATAAAAGTTACTTTTTGCTGCACTAAACTTTATGATGTTTTTCCCCTACAACAGGGGTTAAGTGAGAGATTTTAAGACAAAAAGGGCTTGAGGTTGTTTAAATGCTTATGGAAATGAGAAGGATAGAGAAGAGCTGATAATAAGAGGAATAAAATCCTGACCACCTTTTATGAAATTGCGATGTGTTCCCTACTCCACCCCCTTATGCTACTCATTTTGTTTTCTGTACATATCATGTAATTGACTTATGTTTACTACTTACTGTCTATCTCCACTCTGCTCTCAGAAGGCAGGGATTTTTGTCTCTTTTCTTCATTTATTGATTCCAAGCATCTAGAACAGCATCTTACACATGTAGGTGCTCAATAAACATCCGTCAAATAAACAAAAGAGAAAATTTTATAGGAAGTGGGAAGAAGACCCAGAACAGCCAATAATACGGTTCTTGCCTTCCAAGCGCTTATCTTCATTATAGTTGTGAGGTAAACTCCTTTGGATTCTAGGACTTCCTGCCTATTATAGGTAACGAGGGAGAGAAAGGTAATGCCTCTGAGTTTTCCACCTGGGTAATGTTGGATATAAAGTGACTGAAAATACTTGGAGTCTCTGCCACTCCTTTAATAATTATAGTCTGCGTTCTCCTATTTTGCTCAGAACTGTGATTTAAATATTGTTAAACTATTTATTTCATCATAGTTTATCTTTAAAGTAGATTAAAAATATTTTTAGGTCTTTGTAGTTTGAGTCATAGCTAGCTCTCCGAGGGGCAGAGTAAAGTTTTACCGCGGAGGATAAACTGTGCTTTGCATACCTGCTTTTTTGAAGCTCTTTTACTTGTACAGATTGTTGGAAGGCGGGCCTCTAATTCCTTAATCTGTGGGACTGACTATGGTGACAAAGCGGGCGGAGGGAAAGGACTGAACCTGAGAGGGTACTGTGTGGCCAAAATCAGCGGTGCGAGAGCAGCCTAGAAAAGAGAACAGACTCCCGCAAACAGCCGCGCGCGACAACGAACACAAACCCACGCCCCAGACTCCCGCTTTGGCAGCCCATCGGCGCGAACCAGGATGCGCCTGCGCACGGGCCGCCGGGAGCCAGAACGGCGTGGCCGCGGCTGGGAGTCACGTGCTACACCGAACAGCTGCCCCGCCCCTCGGAGCCGCGCCGCGCCGCGCCGCCCCGCCCCTTTCCCGGCGGGACGCTCGGAGCTGCCCCGGACTGCGCTGGACCGCCAAGGGTGAGTGTCCGCGAGGGGCGCGCGTTGCGCGGACCCGGGCGGGCCTGGGTCGGGGTGCAGAGTTGGCTGCCTGCCTTGTGGGGGCCAGGGGGACAAAATGGCGGCGGGGTACGCCCTTTCACCACCCCCCCGCCTCACCTGGGAGTGCGGACGGTGGGGGGCAGGGATCGTTGCTGGGGGAGGGGATCTGCGGCCGCTTGGGAGGGCACTGGGGTCCTTGAGGGAGGCCTGGGGCCCGGGGTGGGCAGGCTCCCGGCCTGTCCTGGAGGGCGGCTGACGGCCCTGGGGGCTCAGCTGGAGTGTGAGGGACGTGAGACCCCCCGCGTCCCACGGGGACCGAGGGATGTACTGGGGGCTGCCTCACGGGAAGCGGTCCGGGCAACGCGTGTCCAGGTTTCTGGAATGTTGGAGGAGCCTTCCGGCCAGCCCGTCATTTGACAGGTGATCGCCATCGTCATTTAGTTCTCAGCTGGGTGTACCATGCTTTTCCTGCATGATCTCAGCTTTGCCCGATAAGCGGGCGGGAATGTCTTTTACAAATGCGTAAACTGAGTCCTGGAGGGCTGAAGACGTTCACCAAGGCCACACACCTGGGAGTAGTAGGACCAGCCTTCTGCGTCGGTTTGTGCTCTTTTCCCAGCACTACATTCATGCCTTACCCCCCCGCCCCCCACACACACCATTTTCCAGCTGCGTTCACGAACAGGCTAGAGTAGGGAACAGGCTCCAATGAGTGACGGGATTGTCAGAAAGCGGGCAGAAAATGGGTCCTCGGATCAGCACCTGCTGCTGTCAAGTAGTTTCCGCCAAGGTGGGACCGCTTGCCTGAGAGCAGCATCTTGTTGCTGGTACTGTACCCCTCATTGAGTTTGTGCCAAGTTATTTTCATGAAAATAATCATTCAGTAGTCTTCTTACTGAATAGGTAGTAATTATTTATATGTTTAGTTTGTTGATTTCACCAGCATTAACTATGTCATCCTCAATCTGTGAGGTAAAAGGGTAAGATAAGCATCATGCCCATAATAAGGATGGGGCGAGTGAGCCTCAGAAAGGTTATTATTTGCCCCGGATCACTGGCTGGTGAGTGGTAATTAGGGACTAAGCTTCTGACCTAAGGTTGGTAGTCTGACCACTATTTTCCAGTCTTACCTATGTTGGTGCTCTGCCCCTTGTATCTCTTCTGTTAATTATCGCTTTTCCTCAGAATGTGTTGGGTGCAAATTGATATATACCACATATTGAAATAATTTGAATACTGTCCGCTAAGTGATTAATATTTTTAATTAATTGTAGGGTCAGTTTTTAATATGATTTGGAAAGTTGTCTTTGTGGGACGTGTGGTTATCACACGTGCTTGTACTTTGATTGCTTTGAAGGTCGACTGACCTGAATTTGAATCCTAGCTCCACGACTTGTCCTTTGACAAATTAGTTTTTCTGTGTCTTGGTTTCCTCATCTGCAAATTAGATATAATACCTCATAAATTTGTTGAAAGCAATAGATGAGGTGTCCGTAAAGCATTTAGAACTGCTCCTGGTCCATAGTAAAACCAAATCTGTTGCCGTCGAGTTGAGTCTGACTCATAGCGACCTTATAGGACAGAGTAGAACTGCCCCATAGGGTTTCCAAGGAGTGGCTGGTGAATTCTAACTGCAAACCTTTTGATTTGTCACCGAGCTCTTAACCACTGTGCCACCAGGGCTCCAGTCCATAGGAGGCCCTCAACAAATGCTGTTCGTTTCCATCTTTCCCCCACCTCCTTGAGCTACATTTTTTATTTTCTACGATTAATCACCTAGTGGTTTAGGTCAAACAACCATGGTAGCATAATCAGTGTTACTATACAAAAGTGTTTATAAATAAAATGTTTTCGTGTCTGGAAACATAGATTTTAAAACATTTTGTCCTTAGGGCTTCATGGGGGATTTAAGAATCACTGTAAGATTGATTTGGTATTAGGACTTTAATATCTTCATTTAACTACAGGAATGTTTTAAAGATAAGTAAGATGAAGAGGCTTGTGATTCTCTCTTCTTTCACCTTCAGACCCTACCACAACTCAACCTATTTTTAAAGGAGAAGCAAAAATTCTTTGGGAATCACGTGTGAACATTCTTTTAACACTTAGTGGTGGTGTTATTTAGTGGAAAGTTAAACAGTTCTCTCTAATGGTGTAATCTGATATCCATTCTGAAGTTGGCATTTCTGATATTGTTTGTAGAAGTAAAAACTGCAAATGACTAGTATAACAAAAATTAAAATAAATCATTAATAAAAATGTTTCATTATATGTGGCATTTTAAAACATTTTAATATGGAAAATTTTAAAACATATGCGAAAGTAGAGAAAATGATATAATGAACTGTTATGTACAAGTCTCTCTATTTCAATAATTGCCTATACACAGTCTTACACTCCACACAGATTGTTTTGAGGAAAATCTCAGGCATCATATCATTTTATTAGTAAAGATATCAGTATGTGTTAGACCTGCTTTTGATATAGTATTGGGAAAGAGAGGTAGTTTTGGTATTTTCAGTGGGGCGTTCCGGGTTCATGAGAGAGAATAAATGCCTCTTGCTTGATATATTCATGGCACTATATATAGGAGTGATCAGAATTGGAAACATCAGTAAGCAATTTGCAATTACAAAATATCTGTATTGCTCTTCAGAATACTCATTTTTACCATATACACTTTCTTTCCACATAGCAAAGACATGTGAAAAGTTACTGGTCGTTTTTGAGTATGCCTGCAACAACATTGTTTAAGTACCAGACTTGGAAAGGCAAACTCAGATTTTCTTAAACTACAGAAAAGACAAACATCGCTAATAGATATTGTGAACATTGGAGAGGAACTGTGGTTTTATATCCCAGTTTTTCTACAGTTTTTTGGTAAACATGACAACAATTCATAGATGTACTGTCCTAGCATCATCTGGGTCCAGAAACCAAACCCCCTGCCATTGAGTCAATTCCAACTTCTAGCAACTCTATAGGGGTCAGAGTAGAATTGCCCCATAGGGTTTCCAAGGCTGTAAATCTTTATGGAAGCAGACTGCCACATCCTTCTCCCATGGAGCGGCAGGTGGGTTTGAACCTTCTACCTTTCAGTTAGCAGCCGAGCACTTAACCAGTGTAGCATCTTCCTACTAGCAGGCTTCTCACTTTGGGCCTCCTCGCCCTTTCAGACCATGTGTACCCAAACTTGGATAAAGGAAAAGAGAGGCCTCTCCTGGCACTTGAGCCAATCTTTGCATTCCCATCTGTAGGACTCTTAGGTGTCTCCACAGGCATTCTGGGACTACTGGGCAGGGTAAGACAAGCGAGAATTCAGTTCATCACAGGCAGTAGCTTGTTCAGAAACTTTGGGTCCAGTCAGTCCTATTGTTCATTTCCTCCTCACTAACTTTTTTTTTCCCCCCTCCATTTTCTTCTTGGCCATGATTTTGCTTTAGCTCAGTGTTTTCCAGCTTTCATTTATTTGAGTACCAAATTGACTCGATGGCAACTAACAATGATGTCACTATTTTGCAATATTTATTTTTTTTATGTTAACTGACTTTTCGTTTATGATGTCATAAAGTTTCCTTTAAATTTAAGTAAAA